TCGTTATATCAGTCAATTTTTAAACGCAAATAGCTAATTGGCAAAATCGGCTCATATAACCGGGTATCATTCTAAATAGTGAAGCAATTTCCAATAAGCTGTCAGCTAACGAAGAGCGAAACAAGCATTTTATTGAAGGACAGGTAGGTCAAGAGTCTGAAGTATTGCTGATTAGTTCTTAGCTGAAATTTAGGCAAAATGCACACGTACTCTAATTGTGAAATGCTACCATCATTTCTCCAGGAAAAAGTAAAATGATGAGTAATTTGTCTAAGGACAAAATATTATATGTTCTCGCGTCAATTTATTTAATTTAGATAAGCTAATATTTGAGTGCACATGTTATCAGAACAAACATCCAATTTCAACTTGATATCGAAAAATTCTCAAATGTCAAATGATAGAATATAGACTATAGTCGTTTTTTCATCCAAAAAGGGGAAAAAATCATAATTATATTGCTGAAAACCATCTTTTTTGAGAAAATTAATCTTAAATGCTTCCAGGCTGGCTATTTTCTTTCAAACTATATTTACAAATAAAACTACATTTTTAAATTAAAAACTTGAAAAAAAACTGGGCACTTGATAAATTAAAATCAATGAATCGTGTTTTCACAGCTCCTATTTTCCACTTAAATTTAGTGTCATTTCAGCCATGGGCGAAATTTAAAATGATTTGGTCTGAATTAAAAAAAGGGTGAAAAATCAAATGTGAGACATGGGGCAGACATTTGGTCAGCACAACGTGTGGAGGGTGCCCAACTGATTGGAAATAATATCGGTTCTGTGCATGAATTTGAGACGGTTTCAACCAAATACCATAACAATAAATTGATTTAAAAATATATGGTTACAACTTACAGAACAATATTTCAAACAGCCATCAGCCAATTAATAATTGTGAAAAAAAGAATCCGTCGTAGATAAGGCGAATGACTCTTATTTGAGTTAAAAAACAAATAAGTGTTGAGGACCGTTTTTGGAGATAACAGAAACAGCATAAACCAACTCTAGAAATTCTTAATAAACCCCCTTGTCCCAATTAAAACTCACAGAGCGAATTACGAAGATTTGATGTCGTCCGATCTCAAACATGGATATTGTTCCGACTTTCAAAGATATGTGGGGAATATATATTCTTGGGGTGGTTTTTCATTAAGACCAATTTCCAAAAGGATGTTGTCTCGCTTGGCGGCTCGAGCCTTGGACCTTGCATATTTAAGTGACTTTAAGAGCTATCTGAAACGAGTCTACCTAAACTGCTCGCTTTATACTCAGATGCTTAAGGTGTTTCGCGAGTTATTTGTAACGCGTTGCCCTGATACAAGCAGTTTTTTTAGTTTATGTTCGATAAATTAAGTAAATAACTACTGAAAACAGTACATAAATTATTCTAAATAAACTAAATTTTACATATAATAATTAGCAGTCCAAAATTAATGGCAAGTAGCAAATGGTTTTTAGATTATGCTCTCACTCTGCAAAATTATTTCAGATCTAGTGGAAATGTATGTCCGTTGATCGAGATTGCTGTTCCGCTTTTCGAAGAAAATACTGGAACAATTTTGCTCGCTGGGGGTGGTTTTAGAACTTTTTAACTGGCAATTTTTCAGGGAATTCTTTTACATCATCCAAAAAATATTGTTGTACGGAGCTCAAATTAAAAAAAATCATCTGTGATCACTTTTCGTGAACTTATGGGGGTTTAAAAACTGCCAATATGGTCAATTTAAGACCATTAACGAGCGATATATTTTACGATATTAAGGCCTACGCGGAGGTTTAATCAGTCTTAGAAACCGTTCTAAATTGTTTGAGGCAGAATATTTGGGGTGGTTTTTCATTAAGACCAATTTCCAAAAGGATGTTGTCTCGCTTGGCGGCTCGAGCCTTGGACCTTGCATATTTAAGTGACTTTAAGAGCTATCTGAAACGAGTCTACCTAAACTGCTCGCTTTATACTCAGATGCTTAAGGTGTATCGCGAGTTATTTGTAACGCGTTGCCCTGATACAAGCAGTTTTTTTAGTTTATGTTCGATAAATTAAGTAAATAACTACTAAAAACAGTACATAAATTATTCTAAATAAACTAAATTTTACATATAATAATTAGCAGTCCAAAATTAATGGCAAGTAGCAAATGGTTTTTAGATTATGCTCTCACTCTGCAAAATTATTTCAGATCTAGTGGAAATGTATGTCCGCTGATCGAGATTGCTGTTCCGCTTTTCGAAGAAAATACTGGAACAATTTTGCTCGCTGGGGGTGGTTTTAGAACTTTTTAACTGGCAATTTTTCAGGGAATTCTTTTACATCATCCAAAAAATATTGTTGTACGGAGCTCAAAATTAAAAAAAATCATCTGTGATCACTTTTCGTGAACTTATGGGGGTTTAAAAACTGCCAATATGGTCAATTTAAGACCATTAACGAGCGATATACTTTACGATATTAAGGCCTACGCGGAGGTTTAATCAGTCTTAGAAACCGTTCTAAATTGTTTGAGGCAGAATATTTGTCATAATTGCTACCTTAAAAGGAGCGAAATCTATCATTTCGTCGTAGTGTAAATGGAGCGTAGGGGGAAGTATTATAGTTTTTTGAACAATCTCAATAAAAAAATTGCCTATTTCTTTTTTGAAAATTTTTCCATTTTTTTAAGCGAACATAGACCTTCAAAATCAGTCGGAACATTCAAAACTTCGCCATCATACGAGCAGCATTTTCGTTCCGACCATTTGGAAAATGAGCAGGAATTTTGTATTCGAGTGTGTATTAGGTTTTTTTTCTATTTTTTTTGTTTCCAGGCAAAATCGGGTGGCACAAATAATCATCGGAATGGATCGAGTGATATATCATAATAAAACCCTCTCAGTCGTAATTCTAACGGCATTGAAAAATTTGTCTGTGTAGAGAAAAACCGGTTTAATTTTTTTTGTCTATTTAGAGCTATTAAGAGGAGCGAGCAGGCTAACAATAGGTCATGCATGCTGAATTTAAGCCGCAAATCTTAGTTTAAAAAAAAACTTTTTTTAGCTCTTTATAGTAACCGGCTATCCTTTTTTTTCTCTCAATTCTTTTTGCGTTTTAAAAAAATTAATGACGGGCTGTTTTACTCAGTGCTGTCGAGCTGCTCTTTTCATTTAATTCCTGATTTTGACTAATTGTGCGCGCTCAATCTCCGTAGTATGATTTTAGAACCGGAAAAAAATCAATCATAAATTCGTATTCTCGGCAATACAAAATTCATTGGTAAAACTGCTAATTTCATCCAAAATTTGCTGTTATACAAGTTCATAATTTCGCAAATATTCAGCTCCAAAAAACAAATTGGCGCAAGCTAGCCACAAGAACCGGTCGGTAATGTCCTTGAGACAAATTGCTCTTTTTCACGGTATGCCTTAATCAAGGCTGAACCGAATTAGAACCAAAAAACTGTTAAAACGGTCAAAAGGGTCTATAGCCCCTCGGGTCTACATGTTTTAACGTCTGCGTATGGGGGGACTCGAACCCAGTTGACCGGCGTGAGATACTTTTTTCTTGGCCGCACTGCCATCGGCTATCTGTCCTTGTTTTATATGCATTTATACTCTTGTTTTATGTGCATTTATAGTCTTGTTTACATTTGCGTTGCAACACCCTCCCCCCTGAAGAAGGAAGAACTGGAGCGAGCTTAACGGTCGGCCGAGTGACTTCACGGGTTGCTGTCTTAACAAGTGCGGATCGTGCGCATCCGTCCTGTCCATAATTTAGCTTGACGATTCTGCAATTAAGTTAAATGGTGATCTTAAAAAGAGGTTTTGTGAGGTAAACAAGAATTTTTTCTCAACTTGAACCTTTTTTCTCTCAACTTCACAATTAAACAATGATCGAAATATAAGTTGGCTCAAATTCCGGTCAATCAGAATATCAGAAGTAATATTTTGAGAAATATGAGACCGATCTTTCATTCTGGGCGCTATGAAAACGTGAACCCACTCTTTGCAAACTTTTACCATTTTCTTAGCTCCCACAATCAAAGATGATCCGAAAAATCTCAAAATACTACTACTCGCATTCTAATTGACCGTAATTGGAGCGAAACAATACTTCGATTAACAACAGTATTCGTGGTTTCTGCGCATTTCCAGACAATTTGGAAAAAGTTATGAAGTGGGAACATTAAGCAACTGGAGAAAAAGACCATTTTTAGTCCAAACGAGCTGATACGTGTTGCAGGGTAAAACTCTACATGAAAATAAGAGCCAATTTATTTAAGCTGAGGCTTGTTATTCCCAGTTATCGCGGCGCCTTTGTGCGAATCACAGGAGCTATAAAACGATGTGCTGCCATTCAACGGTTAGGGATCGATCACACGATATGGCGATCTCAAAGAGAAAGCCTTCCCACTAATGCTCAATAAAGGCCACTTAGATAGTTTTCTAATCTTTCAGATAGAAATTTTTTTTAATTCTTCGTTTATTCTACCCTCCATTTTCTGGACATGTCCCAGTTACCAAACAGCCATGCAAAAGCGGTTTTTATTGAAAAATATGAATGCGCACCAAAACAAATAGCGAGAGTCCCAGTTGTTTTTGCGACGTCAACTCTTCTTTTCGAACCTTTTGCGTGCATGGCAATACAAAGACACATTTGGTCGTTCAAATCGAGTCTCTTCCCCGAAAAGACATGCCCGAAAACGGTATAATGGTTAAAAAAATTAGTTAATCAAGTCTATTTTGCTAAAAGTAGGCAATCAAATATTTGGTCGGCAGAAGTTTCAACCAGTAAGTATAATCGAGTTGCAGTTTTTGTTTAAGCGATACTGATTTTTTATTTTTATAGTAACGAGCATTAAGACCAGACACTTCGCCAAAGATTCAAATCTAAATCAAATCAGATCTTAATTTGGTTGAATCAATTAAATTTCCATTTGAAACTCCGTTTCTGGCGATTCATGACAAATAAAACTTTCTATCCATAGCGATCTATGACAATATGCAGGTTTTTTTTTCTAGGATTCGAAGAGTAACAAGCTCGGTTCCAAGCCCACTAGACGCGCATTCACTCGAAGCAAAACTGTTCCAACTATCCCGACAACCTCCAATTCTGTGGACCAGAAACCGGCACTGAAGAAAGCTGAACCCAAAAATTACAGTGAAAAACCCTCGAAAGTACTAGACAGCAAAGATAGCAGGGGTGTCAAATCTTCTTTACTCAACTCTAACGACAATCGACGTCAGATGAAACGCCAGACGTACCTGGATTCACAGACGCATCAGGACACACAGCTGTTCATAAACAGTCACGTGATTCACTTGACCTCCCCCATGACTCCCGAGAAGATCGAACGCGAGGAGCTTCTAAACAGGCACTACGGTCCTAAGCCCAAAATAAATTTCTTAGACGACTTCGATGATGACTCCGTTGCCAATTCATGTCGCCATAAACCGTACAAGTTTCCTAGCACACTGAAAAGCAGCGTTTCCAAGCCAGAACTCGAGAAGTTGACGCGTGATCCCGACGAGGTGGAAACCCCTCGAGCGACTTCGCCTGTCAGAGTTCCCAGGATCCCTTACATACCACGCAGGCACCTACCATACCCATTGCTATATCCGTATAGAAACTACTACTCGTTTGAGAAGTACCTCGACAACATCGATTTCGAGATGCGCGCATTCGAACGGGAGCTTGACTGGATTAAATTCCGAAGGCCGCTTTACTATGTTAGTCCTCTGAGATTGTCGAAGTTTTATGAAGCGATGGAAAACTTTGAAGGCGTATCCAAGACTCTGAAAGAAGAGAAGCCTATTCTAGTCCCACCGCCCCCTCCAAAACCTGAAGTGACTTACCCTAGATTCAAAACAACGACAATGTAAGTTTATTGTCCGTATTAGACAAATTGCAATAAGCTAAAGGTAACAAATAACTACATTATAATTTCCTTTTCTTTTTGAGTTGCAAACGTCAAGGAGAAAAAAATTGTTTTTTTTTGTCGTACTTTTAAGAAAAAGAAAATCATTTTCAGGTCTAAGTTATAATTTGCCAAATTGTTGACTATATCGGTAACCTTGAGCTCCTCAACCTGTCCGAAAGAACTTCTTAAGTTCGACGAGTTTTCACAATTTTTTACTGTTTAAAATTACAAAAAATCAACCGTTTGTCGTTAGCTAGACATGTGTTTTTTTTCTTCTCAGGTGTCCGGAGAGTCTGTTGGACGTGGAGCGCAGAATAGACCGACTGAACGACAGAGCTCACTCTCTCAACACCACCATCAGACACCTCCGATCTGTGTGGGTTAGTAGTGTCTTGTTGGGATCAACCGTACAATTTCCCCTAAATCGATTTAGGGGGATTAGGGATGATTAAATACCAGTTTTTAGAAACTGATTTCGATGACAATATAAATTGATCCAATAAGTCAAAAAAATTAATAATTAATAAATACTAGCGTTTAACGCACCTTCGGTGATTCGAAATTTTTCGACAACTCATGAAAAACCGCATAAATTGGAACTTTTAGTGTACTCTGACTGCATCCAATTACAGGGTTGATAATTTCGAACTTTTAAATTTAACTTAATGAGCCTCTCGAGAAATTTGGAGGCCAGATTTGCAACCACTGAGAGTCACTGAGAGCACCCTACTATAGGGTTAGGAATGCAAAACTTAGTGAACTTTTTTACACCTAAGTTTCCCGAAAAAAAATTGAAAAAAACGTCTTATCCCGGAAACTAAAAGGATTTGAGCATTCATATTAAAAGTCAGAATTTGAGACGCCTGGGTGTACGCTGACAATAAGGTTAGTAGTTTCAAATTTTTTGAATTTCGTTGTAGATAAGTTCTTTGAGAAGTTTTGAAAAAATCAAAAAACGTCACATCTCGGAAACTAAAAGCATTTGAGCAGTCTCGTTTAGCAATCGCATTTGGCAAGAATTGAAACTCTTTAGAGTACCCTGACAACACTGAACTATAGCGTTGGGAATTTCAAACTTTGAAAAATAATTAATTTACACTTTCTAAAAATTTTGAAAAAATCACAAAAAACGTCACGTCTCGAAAACTACAAAGAAGTGAGCAGTCATACTTGGAGGCAAGATTCTCAATCTTTGAGAGTACTCTGACAGGACCTAAATACAGTGTTGGGAATTTCAGATTTTTAAAAACTGATAATAATTTAAGTTTTCTGTAAATTTTTGAAAAAATCACAAAAAACGTCATATCTTGAAAACTATAAAAAAAATGAGCAGTCATTTTTGGAGCCAAGATTCGCAATCTTTGAGATAACTCTGACAGGACCTAACCACAGGGTTGAGAATTTCAGATTTTGTGATAAAAAATTAAAATACATTTTCTGAAAATTTTTTAAAAAATCACAAAAAAGATCATATCTCGAAAACTACCAGGATATGAACAGTCATATTTGGAGGCAAGATTCGCAATCTTTGAGATCACTCTGACAGGGCCCAACTTCAGGGTTGCGAATTTCAGATTTTGCGAAAAAAAAATTAATATAAGTTTTCTAAAAACTTTTTGAAAAAAAATAACAAAAAACCTCTATCTCGAAAACTACAAAGATTTGAGCAATCATATTTGTTGGCAAGATTTGTAACTCCTCAGAGTAATCTGACAGCACTCAACTACAAGGTTGAGAATATCAAATTTTGAGAAATAATAAATTAAAATTTTCTGAAAATTTTTGAAAAAATCACAAAAAACATCATATCTCGAAAACTACAAGGATTTGAGCAGTCATATTTTGAGCCAAGATTGGCAATCCTTGATAGTACTCTGACAGTACCCAAGTACAGGGTTAGGAATTTCAGATTTTAAAAAAATAATAAATCAAGTTTTCTGAAAACTTTTGAAAAAATCACAAAAAACGTCATATCTCGAAACTACAAAGAATTGAACAGTCATATTTGGAGGCAAGATTCGCAATCTTTGAGATTACTCTAACAGTACTCAACTACAGGGTTGGGAACTTCAAGTTTTTTAAATTATTTTGTTATTTGAAAATTCTGAAAATTTTTGAAAAAATCTCAAAAATCGTCTTAACTCGTTAACTAAAATGATTCGGGCACTCAAAATTGGAGGCCAAATTTGCAACCCCTAATTCGATATTGGGCTGCTTAATTTAAACTCGGTAAAATAACCACTAAAATCAAATTGGAAAATCGAAAAAAAATTCTAAACCATTGCAATATACGATATAGCTTAAACATGCAAAAATATTACGTTGAAAAAGCTTAAACATGGCGAGATAGTGAAGCCCGCATTTAAATATATAATAGATAATAGATTTAAGTTTTCTGAAAATTTTTGAAAAAAGTCACGAAAAACGTCATATCTCAAAAACTACAAGGATTTGCACAGTCATATTTGGAGGTAAGATTCGCAATCCTTGATAGTACTCTGACAGTACTCAACTACAGGGTTGGGAACTTCAAGTTTTGTAAATTATTTTGTTATTTCAAATTTCTGAAAATTTTTGAAAAAATCTAAAAAATCGTCTTATCTCGTTAACTAAAATGATTCGGGCACTCAAAATTGGAGGCCAATTTTGCAACCCCTAATTCGATATTGGGCTGCTTAATTTAAACTCGGTAAAATAACCACTAAAATCAAATTGGAAAATCGAAAAAAAATTCTAAGCCATTGCAATATACGATATAGCTTAAACATGCAAAAATAATACGTTGAGAAAGCTTAAACATGGCGAGATAGTGAAGCCCGCATTTAAATATATAATATTGCAATCCCTAATTCGATATTGGGCTGCTTAATTTAAACTCGGTAAAATAATCACTAAAATCAAATTGGAAAATCAAAAAAAAAAATTCTTAACCATTGCAATATACGATATAGCTTAAACATGCAAAAATAATACGTTGAAAAAATTTAAACATGGCGAGATAGTGAAGCCCGCATTTAAATATATAATAGATTTAAGTTTTCTCAAAATTTTTGAAAAATGTCACAAAAAACGTCATATCTCGAAAACTACAAGGATTTGAGCAGTCATATTTTGAAGCAAGATTCGCAATCCTTGATAGTACTCTGACAGTACCCAAGTACAGGGTTAGGAATTTCAGATTTTAAAAATATAATAATTCAAGTTTTCTGAAAACTTTTGAAAAAATCACAAAAAACGTCATATCTCGAAAACTACAAGGATAAGAACAGTCATATTTGGAGGTAAGATTCGCAATCTTTGAGATTACTCTGACAGGACCCAACTTCAGGGTTGCGAATTTCAGATTTTGCGAAAAAAAAATTAATATAAGTTTTCTAAAAACTTTTTGAAAAAAATAACAAAAAACCTCTATCTCGAAAACTACAAAGATTTGAACAATCATATTTGTTGGCAAGATTTGTAACTCCTCAGAGTAATCTGACAGCACTCAACTACAAGGTTGAGAATATCAAATTTTGAGAAATAAATAGTTAAAATTTTCTGAAAATTTTTGAAAAAATCACTAAAAACATCATATCTCAAAAACTACAAGGATTTGAGCAGTCATATTTTGACGCAAGATTCGCAATCCTTGATAGTACTCTGACAGTACCCAAGTACAGGGTTAGGAATTTCAGATTTTTAAAATATAATAATTCAAGTTTTCTGAAAACTTTTGAAAAAATCACAAAAAACGTCATATCTCGAAACTACAAAGAATTGAGCAGTCATATTTGGAGGCAAGATTCGCAATCTTTGAGATTACTCTGACAGGACCCAACTTCAGGGTTGCGAATTTCAGATTTTGCGAAAAAAAAATTAATATAAGTTTTCTAAAAACTTTTTGAAAAAAATAACAAAAAACCTCTATCTCGAAAACTACAAAGATTTGAACAATCATATTTGTTGGCAAGATTTGTAATTCCTCAGAGTAATCTGACAGCACTCGACTACAAGGTTGAGAATATCAAATTTTGAGAAAAAATTAGTTAAAATTTTATGAAAATTTTTGAAAAAATCACAAAAAACATCATATCTCGAAAACTACAAGGATTTGAGCAGTCATATTTTGAAGCAAGATTCGCAATCCTTGATAGTACTCTGACAGTACCCAAGTACAGGGTTAGGAATTTCAGATTTTAAAAATATAATAATTCAAGTTTTCTGAAAACTTTTGAAAAAATCACAAAAAACGTCATATCTCGAAACTACAAAGAATTGAGCAGTCATATTTGGAGGCAAGATTCGCAATCTTTGAGATTACTCTGACAGGACTCAACTACAGGGTTGGGAATTTCCAATTTTCAAAACATAATAATTTAAGTTTTCTGAAAATTTTCGAAAAAAGTCACAAAAAGCGTCATATCTCGAAAACTACAAGGATTTGAACAGTCATATTTGGAGGCAAGATTCGCAATCCTTGATAGTACTCTGACAGTACTCAACTACAGGGTTGGGAACTTCAAGTTTTGTAAATTATTTTGTTATTTGAAATTTCTGAAAATTTTTGAAAAAATCTCAAAAATCGTCTTAACTCGTTAACTAAAATGATTCGGGCACTCAAAATTGGAGGCCAAATTTGCAACCCCTAATTCGAAATTGGGCTGCTTAATTTAAACTCGGTAAAATAACCACTAAAACCAAATTGGAAAATCGAAAAAAAATTCTAAACCATTGCAATATACGATATAGCTTAAACATGCAAAAATATTACGTTGAAAAAGCTTAAACATGGCGAGATAGTGAAGCCCGCATTTAAATATATAATAGATAATAGATTTAAGTTTTCTGAAAATTTTTGAAAAAAGTCACAAAAAACGTCATATCTCGAAATCTACAAGGATTTGAACAGTCATATTTGGAGGCAAGATTCGCAATCCTTGATAGTACTCTGACAGTACTCAACTACAGGGTTGGGAACTTCAAGTTTTGTAAATTATTTTTTTATTTCAAATTTCTGAAAATTTTTGAAAAAATCTAAAAAATCGTCTTATCTCGTTAACTAGAATGATTCGGGCACTCAAAATTGGAGGCCAAACTTGCAACCCCTAATTCGATATTGAGCTGCTTAATTTAAACTCGGTAAAATAACCACTAAAATCAAATTGGAAAATGAAAAAAAAAAATTCTTAACCATTGCAATATACGATATAGCTTAAACATGCAAAAATAATACGTTGAGAAAGCTTAAACATGGCGAGATAGTGAAGCCCGCATTTAAATATATAATATTGCAACCCCTAATTCGATATTGGGCTGCTTAATTTAAACTCGGTAAAATAACCACTAAAATCAAATTGGAAAATCAAAAAAAAAATTCTTAACCATGGCAATATACGAT